GTCCAGGTCTCCTGATTTCTGGCCCACTCCTATTTGCACTAAACCTTGGGGTCACCAGAAATGCCTGTTCAGGCCTTGGCATGTGTCCTGACCCCCAAGAGCCTTTCTGGGGTTGGGAACAGGCCTAGAGGCAGCCAAGGGAGACAGGCCAGTTTAGTGCCTCCCAAAGACAGCACACGACCTTCCCCGAAGGCTTTCAGAGGTGTGGCTCTGGGGTTGGCAGATATAAGACTTTGCTCACACCACCTTTATCTCTAGTTCTCACTGCTCCACCTTCTCATCACAGGCCTAAGCTGATGGCAAATTCTGAAGTCACAGGCCCACCTCCAGGCCTGAAGGTCTTTGCTCACCTCTAGGCCCAAGGGTCTTGCCCCAGCTCAGGCACTTAGAAAGCAGCTCTATTGTTTAAGCCTAATCAAGAAGGCCTCTTAGGTTGTTCCTTTTAGTATCTATCATCACTTTGGAAGTCCCTCTTGTAGTCTGACCTCAGGCAACCTTGGTAATTTTATCAGCTAATATCCAGAGAGAGATGTCAATGAAAACGAAGGATCAGCAAATAGAAATGTTGAGTGCTGAGCCTGATCTAACTAGCTTTCAATGGTTAGTGCTCATGAGTACAGGAGAGGTCAATAGATGAACTGTGACCTCCTCTTTGGTCAGTCTTTTCCTGTCTCCTGGGCCTGACACAAACTGTCCTCTGCATCCACGGTCCTGGACCTCTTACCTTGTTGATGAAGGATGCAAAGCGGTTATTGAGGCACTTGATCTGCTCCTTCTCGTCCCTCTTCACGCTCTGCACCGTTGGGTCAATTTCCAGCTGAAGTGGGACTAGCAGGCTCTCATTGATGGTAACAGGAGTGATGCAAGCAGGAGACCCACAGGTAGCCCCCACTCGGTATCCGAAGCTAGGAAGGCCACACCTGGAAGCGACCCGGGGCCTCCCAAAGCCCACGTTGCACAGGCTCCGTGAGCGAAGGCAGCCCAGGGCCCGGAGGCCCCCACCACCCCCAGACTGGCATGGCCCCGAGCTCGCTGCATAGTGGGTGACCCTCTGAGGGAAGACAGCTGAGCATGAGCTGAAGCTCCGACTGCCACATCTGGAGCCCTTTTGGTAGGATAGGCACGACATGGCAGAAGAGAGAGGCAGAGAGGCAGGCCCTGGTGGGGAGAATGGGAAGCAAGAGCTATCAAGTCAGCTCAGCTCCCACCCTTTTATCTGTCAGGTGCTGGAGGTCTGAGCTGGGTCAGACCCCCAATCACCATTAAATCAGGTTTATGAGCTTGGGAGACTGGCAGCTCTAAGTACCCAGGTGGATAATTAGGGTAGCAAAGAGTAGAGAAAAGGAGCCAGTGGTCAGTGCTGGCGGCCCTATAAAAGTCCCATGTGTCCTCCTTCCTTGTTAACAGGGGTTATGAAAGGGGCATATTCAGAGGGTCAGTCTCAAGGAAAGGGAGAGTTGGGACTTTATGCCAGTTCAAGGAGAGGGGCCATGAATTACATTCCCTGTATGCCCTGGCTCAGAAGCCAAGTTGGATATGCTTGAGGATGCTCTCTTTCCTCAAGGCTGTTTTTATGTTTTTGCAAATGCTCCAGACCCAAGTCCCCTAAGGACTTCTAGGGGATCCTGGGAGTTCCCAGGGCAGAAGGGTTTTCGGTGGGAGAACCCCTCAGGCCAGCCTGGGTCCTCTAGCTCCCTTACTTCCTGTCTCCCCAGGGTTCCTGAGATAGAAGACTCCAGACACAGAGTCTTGTCTCCAGGGTCTGTTTAGTCCAGAAAGGCCACAGGGGCCTCAAGAGGAGCTGCCTTGTGCTTGAGGAGAGGAAGGAATGCTTTCCCCCAAACATGCATCGATGTCAGCCATAAGGTTGGGGTTCCATGTGGCTATTTCTTTCCCTTCTTACCCACTCCATCCCCAGCCTCCCTGAAGTAGACTGAGCCTGCTCTGGCCGGAGGACATCTCTGGGGACAGTCGCTGCCCCCAGGAATTGTTTAGGTGTATTTGGGATAGAGCCCTTCTCCCCAGCACCAGGTCACAGCTCTTTGAAAATGCTTGAACTACTACCCTCATCCTATTCTCCCCCCACCCATCCCCCCCCCCCTATTTCCTCAATCCCATCAGTGAAACTTCTGCTGTGGCCAATGGGTCTTTCTCTTCTACATTGTGACTTTTTATAGATCAGAATCAACTCAATAATAATAATAATAATAATAATAATAAGAAGAAGAAGAAGAAGAAGAAGAACATTTATTGGGTGCTTACTCTGTGCAGGACCACCCTGAGTTCTACATTTACTATTTCATTTAATTCATATAATGTCACCATGATGGAGTTTCTATTTTACAAATAAGGAAAGTGAGGAGCAGAGTGGTTAAACTCCGCCAAGGCTGGATTCATCCCATTCTTTCTGACGTCACTGTGTTTGTTGTTCCCATAGAGAGAAGCGGGTTAGGAATTGGATGCTGCTACTGTGCATTATATTTCCTCTGTTTCTCAGCTTCTACACTTATAGACTAGGAGACTGGAACTCAATGGGAAATTCTCAAACTGTGATATTTCACAGTGTCCCTTTTTTGCGTAGTCTTGACTTTGGTCCCCGCATACTGAGGAGAAAAGAGAGGGGCTGGTGCAGGTGAGGTTTGTCATGAGACAATGAGTGATGATGGTGTTGGTCCTGTGCATGGTGCAGGAAGAGGGGATTCTCACTGTGCCCTAAAGGAAGTGTCACAGAACTTGGCCCCAGAGATGATATTAGTGGGGATGGTGATGCTGAGAAGCCAGACGAGGGATTAGACTCCCTCCAGACTCCCATCAGAGGGAATGAATGAGATAGTGGGCAGACCTGTGAGGCTGGGTTCACTGGACACTGTAGAGCATCCCCCAGACACATCTATGCCAGAATGTGGTCTCAGTGACCATGTTGGACTCCCTGGAACCAGGACCAGAGCTCTGGGGCAGAGAGCAGGGTAGTTAATTGGAAGGCACCTGCTTCTGGAGAACCCCAGGTCCAAGGTTTCCCTTTGAATGTGAGATAAGACAGACTCAGTCAATACCCAGAGAGCTCGGTGACATTTTATTGAAGCTATTTCAGGGAACAGGTAGGCACAGGGAGCTGGCAGTAGAGAAGGGTTTGAAAAGATCAGAGCGGGAGTGACTGTTCTCTGAAGCAGTGGATGCTCCTGTCTTCATGTCAGCAGCACGCAGCCTATCACTCCTCATCTTGTGAGTGCATTTTGGTCTTGAACACATGGCAGGTGTTTTGAGGGTTTACATGTCTTCTAACTAAATAGGAAACCACCCTTCGAAGGCCACCTCAAAAATATTTCGGTGCCTCCCCTGCTCTCCTGTTCCACCGGTACCCTATTTCTGCTTCCCTTAAGGGACTGAGGATCACATCTACATCCCTGGGGAACACCTAAGGAAGAGCTGCCTCGCTTCTGAGTCTGCTCTCTCTGGCCTTCCCTGTGGGGCAGGGCATTTGGTGGACTGACTGCTTTCAAGAGTTTCAGTGGCTAAAGCTGGGGATGGGCAAGGCCATAGGCAGATATTTCAGAGACATGAATATAGAAGAATGGTCCGGAGAGAGAAAGAATGGGAACTGTACTGGCAAACAAAAGTGGGGAAGTGAAAGGAAGAAAAGAGAAATAAAGAGATGAGGAGAGGAGTAGGGAGAGAGAGGAGACACACCGGGTGGCAGAGGATGAGTAGAAAAGGACTGAGTGGGAAAGAGAAGGTGGAAAGAGCAGGGTAACAAAGGGAAGAAAACTTTCCAGAAAAGAAGTGATGTGGCAGCACAGAGGAGGAGAAGTCCTGCGCCTGCAGGTTATTGCAGGGGGGCTCTCCCTGGGCAGTTCTAGGACAGGCTGACTTGGTTCTTTCCTCAGTGTGTCTGTTGTAGGCATCTGGTGCTGAGCAGCCTCCCACACCTTCACATCAGCCTGCCTCCTCCCCCTCAGCATCAGGACATTTCTGTTTGGGCCCATAATTCTAATTTTGGCTTAACTGAAGCAGATTTGGGAAGAAGGGGGCTATAAAATATTATCAAATGCAGCCCTGGCCATGGAGAACTTTTGGATTCTTGATACAAGTATTGCATTCTCCTGTGAGTAACCAACAGTTGGCAAAATTTTAATAGGTGTTGATTTCTCTCCCAAATATTCTGCTGCTGCTGGTTGTCAGGGGAAGTGGCTAACGTCCTGGGTGAGGACAAGAAGGAAGGAGGTGCCGAAACCTGTTTGGCTCAGTGGATAGAGTATTGGCCTGCGGACTGAAAGGTCCCAGGTTCGATTCTGGTCAAGGGCATGTAACTTGATTGCGGGCATGTCCCCAGTAGAGGGTGTGCAGGAAGAAGCTGATTGATGTTCCTCTCTCATCGATGTTTCTAACTCTCTATCCCTCTCCCTTTCTCTCTTAAGAAATCAATAAAATATATTTAAAAAATAAAAAAAAGAAGGAAGGAGGTGAGGAGGCCATATGTGGGCAGTGTTGGCATTACTTCCTGGTCTCAGTGGCCTGCAGGAGAAGTGTTCTGTCTGCGTGAGAAAGCTCATGTGAGAACTCTGGCCTAGACTACATTCAACTTTCTTGGAGCACCAAGGTCAATTCTAAGCTTCCCGTGAAGGACTGTGGTTACAGTGGAACCGGGTCAGACAGGAGGAGGGAGACCCAATTACACCCCCGCTCTGGAAGCTACTGAAGGACAAAATCCTACCCAGCCCAGGTCTTGGCTCAGAGCAGTTGAATCAGCATTAGCTAGAATGGATGCCTTTAGCCCTGGAGGGCCCCGGGGTGGGGAGTGAAAGGGACCTGTCTGAAGCAGAGGGATGGACAAGGTGATCTTGGAATGCATAGGCTGCTTTCCCACTCCCTGTGTGTCCTGCTGCCAGGATTGACTTTGTGCAGGGGTGTCAGCAAAGCTGCAGGCCTTGGGCCTGGGACCTGGGGGTCTGGAGGGTGGGGTGGGGAGGGGTTGGGGAGGCTGCAGAGGCAAGTGGAGCTCTTTAGCTCCTATAACTCTTCTTGGTGGACGACGTCTTGGAGATGATGCGCATGCTGGAGGTGCTGCCACCCATGTTACGGCCGCTGGTGGAACTGAAGCCTCCGCTGCCACCACCATAGGAGAGGCTGCTGCTGTAGCCGCTCCCGCCCCCGCTGTAGCCTGTGCCTCCAGAGGAGGAGACCACAGCTGTAGAGAGAAGGCACAGGGCACACTGGCAGTCTTCGCCAGTTTCCTAAGACCCACCCTCCCTGGGCCTGGGGCCCATGGCACTTCCTCAGGGAAAAGAATCTCCTCAGTCCCCCAGGAGCAGGGTCAGAGGGTGGACATGTGCTCCCCATCCCCCTCACATGCTGCTCAACATGAGCATCTGTACTGGACATCGCACCTTTCAAAGGCCTTCACAGCTGAGACCACACTGTCTCAATAGGTCTGAGAGGACATTATTACTATGAGCACCCACATTTTACAAAGGAGAAACTAGAGGCACGAAGAGATCAAGTGGCAAGCCCAAGATCACACCTGCCAGAAACTAAGGTTGTAGGCTACCATGCTGTGTTCACTCTTCATCTACACCAGGGGCTCTCACAGAGTGAAGACCTCCCGCTATGAGAGGTTCAGGGACTCCCAATCTGGAAGAGGCTGGAGGCCATCCAGATGACATTTTCCAGGAGTCGAGTCCCTTCTACCGCATCCTGAGTCTCGCTTCTGCTCAGATACTTTCAGCAGCAGAGAGCTCACTATCTAGATGTAGCTTCCACAGCCTGTCAAACATGTGACCTCCCTTTAAGTGTATGTTTCTCCAGGGGAATTTGTCTAGTTTCCTCTATTAAACTTTCCCCCATCCTGGTTCTCCAGCCTCTCTAATTCGGTCTGACCCATATGGGGCCCAATGGATCCACTTCTCACGCCTGGGATGCAGGACTCCACGAATGCCACTAGCTTGGACACTCTGGCAGACGACTCCTTCCCATCTCCCTGCCATTGCCTGAGGCCAAGCCAGGCCAATCACTGCTCTGCTTGTTCCATTAATTTGCTTCAATTTTTTACATTTAACCTATCTAGTAGCCTCTTGTCAGTTGTGTGAGTTTGAATCCCTGCCAGAACCAGCTGAAAAATCAGGGACCCATTGCTCTGCTAGCGGACCTGTCCTGAAACTGGGGTCCCTGGAGCCTGGCTGTAGTCATACCTGTGAACATATCATCCCACTGGGTTGGGCCCAAGGGATGAGAAATCATCACAAATCTCTCTTGACCAATTGAGATGAAGGGCTGGAGAAAAGAGGGGTCTCCGTAGAGCCCCTAAGAGCATCTTAATGATGTCCCTAACCCAGCCTGGTTATTTTATAGTCATTAAGTCCTTGTGATGCCCTTAGCTTCCACTCTGTCTCCCACTTTCCTATCATCCCAAGGCAGGTACTCACAGATATTCACGGGTCCGACACCTTCTCCACTGAGTCTGTTGCAGGTGGGAGAGAAAGAGACATTTGCTGAGACTTTAAAGAGCCCTGAGTTCTTTGTGTTTAGAGTCATCGGCACAGAGCACTTACTGGGTGCCAGATACTGTGCCTACAAGCTATCCATTCATCTCATTAGCCTAAAGAAGTTAACGCGAATCTGTCAGAGGACATCTAGGAGATAAACCCAGTCATAATATGTTGAGGAATGGGGGGAGGGACCCCTGCTCACTAGATAGAGCGGGGCAGTTAGATTGTAGGCATCTTTGGGCAACATAGAGCCCTGAGGCTTGTCCCAGGTGTGGCCTTGTTTGTCTTAGGGTTTGGGCAGAAATGGCCCTGCTTATGGCCTTCCAGGTAGTCATGGGCCACTTTTCCCTGACATCTTGCCCCTTGGTCTTTTGCCCTGGGTCCAATAGGAGCTGTGGAAGGAGCTGTGACCTCAGGAGACCTCCAGGGAGCACCTGTGTTTTAACCATGTATCTACCCTTGGAATTTCTCCCCGGGGCTTGACACTTTGGGGCTCTTGACCGCTGTGGTATTGGTCTAGTGCTCCGGTGGAGTCTGTTTGAGCTATGGTGGGAGGAAAAGGTAGCCCACCTGCACTCCTCGCCCTCCAGCAGCTTCCTGTAGGTGGCGATCTCAATGTCCAGGGCCAGCTTGACATTCATCAGCTCCTGGTACTCGCGCAGCTGCCTGGCCATGTCCTGCTTGGCCTTCTGCAGGGCCTCTTCCAGCTCAGCCAGCTTGTGCTTGGCATCCTTGAGGGCCATCTCCCCACGCTGCTCAGCATCAGCGATGGCGGCCTGGAGCGTGGCACACTACCGGGAGGACACAGGAGTTGGTGAAATCCACAGAGAATGCAGAAAGATGTGGGCTTCAGGTTAAAAAAATGGAGGACATTTTTTAAAAAAAAAAAAATGGATTTCATGCAAAGGTGACTAGAGCTTCATCATATTTAAAAATAAGATGAATCTCTGTCCCCCTTGGATGATTCACTCCTTAGCCAGGATAGAGACAATGATTGGGGGAGGGAAGGGGGTTCTTTTCCATACTGAATATCTCTGGATAGTGGGTAAGTAAAGCTGGTCAAAGTTTTGCCTTGGATGCCTCCAGAGGACAGAGCCCTTCCTGGAAGAATTGATGTTGGACAGAATTCAGGAAGAAGGTTATAACACCCCTAGACAGGCAGGAGACCACATTCCTGGGTGGTCACTCATCTGGCGCGGCTTCACTCTGCATGGGCTGAGTTAGGACCAGGCCCAGGTCTGCCCGGGTGCAGGGATTTAATTAGGATGACCTCTGGGAGGTCAGTCCTACCTGCTTCTTCAAGTTATCAATCTCAGAACGCAGCCTGTGCATCAGCCGGTTCAGCTCAGAGATCTCCATCTTGGTGGTGCGGAGGTCGTCCCCATGCCGGCCAGCAGACCGCTGCAGCTCCTCATACTGGGGAGAAGGAGAGGCAGAAGGCAGCCAGATTCAGGCCAGAGACAAGGAGGTGGTGGTTTCCCAGGCCCAAAAGGCTTTCCATACACCACTGGAGGCCCCTCCCACTCCCCACTCCATTCTCCATCAATTCCATCCCCATCTTCCCTGGGCTCTGCTCTCACTGTGTCTACAGCTCAGCACCACAATCAGACCTTTCTTCTTGGATCCCGTCTTTTGTTCTTCTCCCTTGACACCAGGCATCTCATTCTCAACCTGTAACTCTCTGCTTCTAAAGCTCCTTTGCACCAGATCTCATATTCTTGTGATTCCCCAGCTCAGTGTTTGTTCTAACCTGGAACATCTCATTGTGTGACCCAAATCCAGTCCTTGTCCCCGCCTCCCCCCAAGTCCCTCAGATCCAGACAGTTCCACCTTTCTCCTCTGCATCTAGGAAGCTCAGCCTGCCTTTTGTTCCCACTGCCCCCCCCCCCCCCCCCCGTTTTGTTCTTCCTGGCACTGGTGGCTGGTACTCTCCAGCTGTCCCTTACCTCTCTTCTACAGGGTGTTGGAGGTATGTCCATACTCCTTATAAGGACAAACTATCTCCTGCCTCCATATGGCGATTCCCCCAGTATAGCCCAAGAAGTGCTCAGTACAGAGGGTATGCCCCAAACTGAACTCAGATCTCTTCAACCCCATCTGATTGGGACATGTGAGAGGACAAGGCTCTCATCTATAATAAATTGCCTTGGGAATCCCAGTTTTCCATAATTGTTTCATGAACTTGATGTTGACACCTCACCTTGGTCTGATACCAGGACTCAGCCTCAGCCCTGCTGCGGTTGGCGATATCTTCATATTGGGCCTTGACCTCAGCGATGATGCTGTCTAGGTCCAGGTTGCGGTTGTTGTCCATGGACAGGATCACGGAGGTCTCAGAGATCTGGTCCTGAAGCTGAGCCAGCTCCTGTGATGGGGTCCAAGTGGGAGAGCTGAAGCAGGGTGCAGGAGAGTGCGTGCATGTACATGTGAAAGCGTGTGTGTGTGTGTGTTTGTGTTTGTGTGTTTGTGTGTGTGTGTGTGTGTTGTATGCATGTGTGTTGGGGCACTGTGACCAGAACCCTGGAACAGATCTTGGCATCAGGGAAACATATGCACTGCTAAGGCCTAAAAGGGCTGAGAAGGACATTAGGGAGGTCACTCGGCTTACTCCCAGGCTTTATCATCAACTCATCACAGATAACTTTAGCTGCCACGTCACTCCTGTTGCCAAGGGAATGCACCTTGTTGTAACCTGCCAGTGCCATGATGTCTCATGTTCTGAGGAAAACTGCCTTTCACACTAAATAAGGAAATCATCTTGTGAACTAAAACTGAGTCAGAAGGAGCCAGAAAGCTTTGCTACGTCTCAGTTTTGTTTCCCAACTTTGCTCCTCCCAGCTCCTCAGGAATGGGAAATGGAAACAGCAGAAAGGACACCAGACTAAAAAATTCAAGTCTTGGATCTTCAAAGGTTAGATAGCATCCCTGCCCCAGGGAGGAGCATTAAATAGTCCATGTCAATGTAAGATGGTCTTTGAAACAATAAACACACAATTAATTTATTAATGATCACTCCTCAGATTCCTCTAGAGCAGTGGTTCTCAACCTTTCTAATGCCGTGACCCTTTAATACAGTTCCTCATGTTGTGGTGACCCCCAACCATAAAGTTATTTTCATTGCTACTTCATAACTGTAATTTTGCTACTGTTAATGAATAATAATGTAAATATCTGTATTTTCCAATGGTCTCAACCTGTGGGTGGCTACTGTGCCTGAAATGGTATTGCATCTGTGTGGCCTGTTTCCCCCACTGCAAGGAGGCTCCAAGAACTCAGCGGCTTGATGGTGTTTGCTCAGTGCTTTGCTGCAGCTCCCAAGAACAATGTCTGATTCTTAACAAAATGTGTCTTCAGGAGAACCAAGCAATGTGTTGTGTGCTTCTGGAAGCATCTAAAGGCTCACTAACTGTCACTTGATTTGCATAATTGCATCATCCTGCAGCCAAGAATAACAGGCAAATTTAAGCTGAAATGGGTGAGCCGGTTGCTCAGGTAGTTCTATGGAAACCATGCATAATTCAATGATGGGAAGTTCCTTTGTCTGACCGACAGAACATGTTTGGCACAGGTGATCAAGATTAAATTTCTCACCTCACCTGACTCACAACTACTGGATAGAAACTCATTTTCTCTCTAGGTAGGGGAAGTAGCCTCTGCTCCATGAATTCCAACCCAGGGATGGGGTGGGGAGCAGAGAGGAGATCAGAGAAGCAGCTTATAGCCTCTGTACCCAGCTGAGGCCCACCCCTCTCCCAGCCTCCAGCCCCTCTGAGGGGAGCAGTGGGCCCTGCTTACCGCTTCATAGAAAGCTTTCAGGAAGTTGATTTCGTCCATTATGGCATCCACCTTGGCCTCCAGCTCTACCTTGTTCATGTAGGCAGCATCCACATCCTGGGCACAGAACAGACCATCACCCTGAGTCTTACCCAGTCAGGGTTAACCAGCTCCTCTATTGGGCGGGAGAACTTCAGTTCCCAGGGATGAAAGCCGTGTTTTATTCCAGGCTATGGAGTGGACTGGCATGGAAATGGGGAGAGGGAAGGGGAGTCCATTCCCTGAGGACCAAGGCTCTCAGGGAATGCACATCAGGTCGTCAGCTATGTCATCTCCATGTGGTGAGGGCAACCCCATCCTGGACCCATGAGCTCTCCCAGCCTCTCCCTGAGGCTCATGGTGACTTCCCCTCCTCCTCATACTCTCCTCCCCTTCCTCCTCTCCATGCTCCATTCTCCCTGCTTCAGCTCAGCTCCAGGCTGGTTCTCCCCTCCCTCTATCGCCCTCCCCAGCCCCATTACGCAGGAAGGTCCACAATGCTAAGAAATTGATCCCTGTCTGGTGCCCATCCCCCGAGCCTGCCTTGCCGTCCTGGAGACTCAGCTCAGCATCAGGCCCATTTGCTTCACCTCTCCCTTCCCTGGACTCCACATGGGAGGGACTGGTGTCAGGACTTACGACTTGGACTTTGAAGCCATGGATCCTGAAAATCTGGGTAACCTGGGCAACGGGCTTAACCTCCCTGATGATGAGTTTTTTAACTTTTAAAGTAAAACCTGTTCCCAAGATTGGTTGCACAAATGAAATAAAGCCTTGTATGCAAGGCCACGAGTTTAAATTGCAGCTGTCACTCCTGGAAGGGGCTGCCTGAGAGTCAGAAGGGAGCATCCCTGTCCCCTCACCTTCTTGAGCACCACAAACTCATTCTCCGCCACTGTGCGCTTGTTGATTTCATCTTCGTACCTGTGGGAAAGGTCAGACGTGGACTGATGTTAGGCACAGGGGCTCTGGGAGTGAGGTTAAACCAGGGGGCTGTAGGTGGGCAGGAGATGGCAGGTCTGCAGAGCAGACCTGGAAAATGTGCTGCTAGAGCAAGGCTCTCCTGCCACACACATGCCCCCAAATCCCATATCAACCAACACCCACCTACCCCTTCTACACAATGCCCAAACCTCAAATAATAACAACCTCCCCCCCCCCACCCTCATTCTTTCCTGAGTTTTTCACACAGTTTTGCTCCTTAGAGAGCATAGGTTCCACGAAGGGGCATACATGTTTCCTTTTATACCTCGTGGTCTTGTCCCAACCCAAACAGAGGCCAGGAGGGGAGAAACAGAGAGAACTGTAGGAGGTGTGCAGTCCTAGGCCTCAGAGGCTTCTGCACCCAGTGACGCCCTCATGCCTCTCTGCTCTGTTCTCAGCCACACTGACTCTGGCCTGGGAAGCTGAATCTTCAGGCTAAAAGGAGCGACCCACCCCCCTCTCCAGTTTCCTCTCTTTCCCCTAGGCAGCATCCCTCTTGCTCACTGATCTCTGGGTGACCCATTTTCTACCCAACCTGTCTAAGTAATGGGGAGTCCCACCCGCTCAGTGGCTCTGAAGGCTGTGGTTGGGGCTTTGTCTCCTTCACCTTCCAGCCCAGTAACCCCAGGCAGGTCACTCAACCTCTATAGATGTTCTTCCCATCTATGAAATGGCATGCCGTTATTCTTCTAAAACCACACAGCATGGTCCCACACGATGTATATAACCAGATCTCCCTGCTTTTGTATTGCCTCTGCAGTCCAGTAGTACCTGAGACAAGCTTTCTCCTGCCAGTTGATTTATTTTTCCTTATGATTTCCTTGCATTGCCTTTTCACTAAATATGAACACCTGTTCTTCACCTAATTCCATACAACTAACTGTCCTTGTCTCCTGTGCTTCCCAGCTCACAGGCCCTCTGCCAGAGGGTGAGCATCAGGGGGTCCTGAACAGGCTCTTAGTCACTTGCCACAGGAACATCACCGACTATTACCTAGGAGCACATTCTCTAACACTCCCCCAATTCCTCCTCTTTGCCTCTTTCTTCTTCTACATTAAACTTTCATCTCCTTCTCCAGGAAGCCCTCTTGGATTGAAAAACTGTTACTACATATTTGCACACATTATAAATTATCCATTTGTATTTGCTTTTCGTGTCACTACATACATATGCCTAAACATCAACACAATAAAATAACTAACACTTATTAACAGTTTACTCTGTGCCAGGAAGTCGGCACCCTACCAAGTAATTTACATGCAAGTTTTGATTTAATATGCTCATACTATTAATATGTCCTTTAATAGGCAAAGGGGTTGGGGCTTACAGAAGTTAGTTTTCTTTAGGCCTTTTAGCTAGTAAGTTGTTGAGCCAGGATTCTAATGCCACTGACTAGATTCTGTACTGCTGTCCAATAGAACTTCCTGTGATCATGAATATGCTTGCTATCCACACCCATTAGCCACATGTGCATTGAGCACCAGAAATGTGGCTAGTGAGATTGAGGAGCTTAATTTTAAATTTATTTAAATTCAATGAATTTAAATTCAAATAGGCACATGTGGCTAGTGGCTACCATGTTAGTGCAACTCTAAAGCCTTAACTCTTACTACGTTACACACACAGTACCTTAAAAAAACTTTGTATCAAATGACTTATTTTGTTTGGACCAATACAATTAGAAATAAATTAGAACAATAAAAATAAGAAATTACTTATGTCTATAGACACAAGATACTATTTGTTTAATGGTGTGTGTGTGTGTGTGTGTGTGTGTGTGTGTGATTTCAGGGAGAAGGCAGCATGTAGTCTTTCTCCTCTGTTCTCTGCCCCTTGGCCAGGGTTGGGATAAATGCATGGACATTATGTAAATTAGCAATGGGACTGAGTGAAACAAATGTAAGGGTGAGATTATATAGGCTTAATTCTTAATTCACAAGTTGCCACTTATATAAACTTAAATGAGTCAGTCACTCTCTCAGAGCCTCAACTGCAGAATCTTTCAGGTTGTTGTGTATATCATGCTTTCTGTGCCCATGTTAGTTATCATCCTGTATAACCTCAGCCCTTCCCCAAAGCCCTAGGGTCCCAGTTCTTTTTCCAAGTAACTTCAATGCCCAAGTGTGTCCCATTTCCCCACTGAACTGGGCTCTTCTGGAGGAGCTGGCCCCGTGTCCACTCACTTGTTCTTGAAGTCCTCCACCACGTCCTGCATGTTCTTCAGTTCCGTCTCCAGCCTTGTCCGCTCCCCACCCAGGCTGTCCAGCTGCCGCCTCAGGTTGCTGATATAGGCTTCAAACATGGGCTCAATGTTGGCCCTGGTGGTTTTATGCTCCTGCAGGAGGCTCCATTTGGTCTCCAGGACCTTGTTCTGCTGCTCCAGGAACCGCACCTGCCCCAGTCAGAGGTGAGAGACTGTGAGGGCTTCCTTGCAGCAACCTCCCAAAAAGCTCTGGGATCCAGGACCCTCCTGGGGTAGGGCCGTAAGACCCCAGAGTCCAGGTAGTAGGCTCTTTTTCATCATTCTCTCCCAGAAGGTAGAGAGCCAAGCAAAGGTAGGTGCAATGGAAGAGAGGTGGTGGATTGATTTGGAGGTGGGAGAAGCAAGAAGGGACAGAGGGATTGGAAACTGTCTGACCACACCAAACCATGCTGATGTGTCGAAGGTGAAGAAATTTCACCTCACATTACTGGGCGAATTTTTGATTCCCATTAAATGGACAGGAAGTTCTTAGCAGAACATTCAACCTGTCTATTTTCTTTTGAACATGATTTCTCAAGATCTAGACTCTGGACTCAGTTGCTCACACCCTACAGGAATTCTGGAGTGGGTCACTCTGGAGTCATATTGAACGTATTTGGGCATAATCCCAGCCCTGTCTCTCCAGCTATGTGGCCTTGATAAGCCCCTCTGCTCTCTCAGGTCCTCTGTGCTCTTGTGCTACAAATACAGTTTCCTTGAATTGCACTCATCTGCTCCTCAGCCTGGAAAAATATGCAAAACCTTTCTCCCTAAGCAAAGTCCTTTCACTGGGAGCAGCTGGAATGGCACACAACCTCAGAGAATGAAGGAACAGAGCCTCCAAGACTTTGGAGATGGCAATTTGCCTGCTGAGGGTCTTTGACAAATGTACCCACCCCACCAGCTTTCTCATCCATTGTAGAGGAATGAGGGCAGTCCTGGCTCTAAGTCCCTCCCTAGTTACCACCCTTTGGTTCCTAGGTGCCTTCCTGACAAACCTAAAATGGCTTTCTTTTCCTCCGAACCAGGCTCCTGGAAATCTCACAGCTGTTGATGCACACACAAGGTCAAGTAGGGTGACATGGGTGATAAAATTGAAGAAGCACTGCCTCAGTGGTTAGGTTTTACACATTTAAAGATCTGGGTTTATATGATGAGGCATTTATAGACTGTTAGACCTGCAAAGGCACCACAGAGTCCATCTATCCAACCCAACTGAGGCCCAAGAACTTAGGGATTCTCCTAGCAGAAGAGCCAAAAATGAGACCTGGGCTGATTGCCTCTTTAGCACTTTCTTCTAGATCCCAGGTGTGGAGTCTGAATAATCCATATTCTTGAATTGGTTCTTCCCAGGCAAAAACAACCAGCTCAGGTGTGAAGCAGGGGTGATGACACAAAATAGAATCCAAAATAGAATGATATCTTTCCCCCAAACTGGGAAAATCCCTAGGATTCCAGGCCATATACCAAGGTGGGACCCAGGGCTGAAGTCACAGCTTTCCTCTCTCTAAAAAGAAAAGAGTGAAACACTTTGAGCAGCCTCTGGCCCACCACCAGCTTCTCAGACAAACCCAAGTCACTAGGGCGGTTGCCATAGGAGGGCTTGCCCCTATTAAACTCGGCAGGAAAAAGTGACCTCAGCCCACTTCTGTGGACTGACCTTGTAATCTTTCTTCCCTTTATCTCCTTCCTCCAAACTGACCTCCTTTCACTCTCTAATTGTAAGCCCAGCACATGATCACAGTCCATCAAAAGAGTGATGTCCTTGCAGTGGGTCAGAAAGCTCAGGATCCTGGAGGTGGTCATTTTTCTGCTTCCACCTCAACAAAGTGGGAAACCATCTCCCCCTCTACCCTGTCAGCAGTCTTCCCACCCCAGGATCACAGGTCTTGGGCAAGTCACAGTTGACCTCAGCAAAGCACAGAGAGCAGAGATCCCCCAGCGTTTCTAGTGGGGATCCCACTTGCCTCTCACCTTGTCGATAAAAGAGGCGAACTTGTTGTTGAGGGTCTTGATCTGCTCCCGCTCCTCTTTCCGCACCCGCTGAAGGGAGGGGTCGATCTCCAGGTGCAGTGGGGTCAGGAGGCTCTGGTTGACAGTGACCTCCTGGATGCCCCCAGATCCAGGCATCATCCCACCTCCATACCCTCTGTACCCTATGCCGCCAAGACCCATCCCGTAGCCAACGCCACCGAAGCTGCCCCGGTTGGAGCGGTAGCCCCCGCTGACGGAGATTCTCTTGCTGCCCCCAAGGCCATGGAGACTCCTGCTCCCAAAGCCACCCCCAAAGCCACCTCCGAATCTCTTCCCGCCCTGGGTCACGGAGACAGAGCTGAAGCTGGTCCGGGAGCCCGGGAGGAAGTTCGCCGAGGAAGTGCTGAAGTTCCGAGTGCCCCCCGACTTGATGGTGAAAGAGGATCGCTGGGTCATGGTGGGAGTTGGTGGCAGAGAGTCCGAGGAGCAAAAATGTCACAGGGATGAGGAGGCTTCAGAGTCTAACTGTCCCAAAGTCTCCTTGGCTTTTATCCCTTTAAGAACTGGGCTTGGCCGGAGAAGATCAAAGACCACTGTGTTGAGTTCACCTCAATGGCATGTCTGGCCATGGCCCATCTTCCTGCCCCGCTAATCATAATGGGGAACTCCCTAGGGCAGGACTGGGCCTGGGCATTCGAGCCCCGGGCAGGCCTGGGTCCCCGAGGCCCCCACTTGCCCAGGTTCTCTGCCACATGATGTCAACACTCCCACTGTGTCTCATGGGCTCCTCTCTTATTGATCGCCAGGTCTTGGACTTTGAACCCAAGCACTTCCTATCACTTACAAAGAAACCCCATTTATTGAGGACTCAATCTGTGTAAGACCATGTGGCAGATAGTTGCAAACACTGTCATTTGATTCTCATGATAACTTTGTGAGGGTAGAGGGCAATAAAAATTGCTAACATTTCCTAAGCGGCTGCCATGGATAGCTGTTTTACACCTGCCTTCTCATTTAATATTTACACAGCACCACGTGGTGGCTATTACTTTTTTATTTTTTATTTTATTATTATTATAATATTATTATTAATTTTTGCACGTGAAGCCATTGAGGCGTGGAGTAGTTAAGACACTTGGCAGACCTCAGGTAGCCAGTAATTGCTGTGCCAATGGTGGGGCCCAGTGGTCTGATTGCACCTCAGGGACAGAGAAGCAGACTCAGGACTTCAAACTCCTGCCCCCTCTACTCCTCTTGTTCCAGCTTTTAACTTTTAACTTGACCCTACCCCTCCACCAGGGATGTTTAACAATTGTTCTCAGTGCCATCTCTCTTCTTCTTGCCATCCTTTCCTTTTCAATCCTTCCCAATTTCCCCTGATTAGAGGGGTCCAAGAGACTGTAAACTCAGGAATGTGGGCGCTTCAGGATGTCTCATTGCTGCAATTATGGGCCTAATCGTCTCCTGTGCTAAGTGAAGGTGCTGCCCTGGGGCTGGCTTTTAACTCAGCTCCTGCCCTGTGATTTCTCTGCTCAGGTCTGCAAGTTTGAAGCTGTCAGGGAACAATGGTCCCTTTGCTGGCAGAGGGCTGGGCTCCCCAACCTACGTCAGTGTCCTGGAGGAATAGTCTGGCTTTGGGAGGGATGGCACTGCCCTGCATGACATACGTAGCGGGGAAGCTGGGCAAAGCTTCTGCCCAGGGGCTGGGGCTTCTCAAAGAAGATATCCCAACGAGGGGTAGGAGGAAGTGGGCAGAAACTTAGGTACAGAGTCTGCCCTCCTGTCCTTCCCATCTCCCCCCCCCCCCCCCCCCAGTCCAGCCTTCTGAGCTCTGGGGAGAAGTGGGGAAGGAAAGTCTGATGTGCTTTGGGTACTCCTTGGGTGAGGCCTTGTGCTGGGAGGAGGAGGAGGAGAATTGTTCTGTGCTCCGTCACCATTCTAAACAGAGGGCTGGACACCAAACACATTACACATACATTTAATTGACACATTCCAGAGAGGGGAGAGAGGGAACCCTCACTCCCAGCAGGCAGCTTGTAAGCACCGTGAGACAGGGGGCCTGACAACCTGGCATTAAGATGGTCTGGGAGACACAGACTCCTCATTTCTGTATCTAGAGGAAGGGAGGGAGGCGGAGCTGAAGGGGAGCCTCTAAAAGACAAGCCTAATGTGAATCTTGGAAATCTGTGCTCTGGCACGGAGAGGGCTCTGTGGGCAGTCGGGAGACTGTCAGGAGGGCAGAGGCTGGCTCAGGTTGGAGTCGGGTTTACCAGGATGCCAGGCTTCCTAGCAGCACAGGTGGGCCTTGTGATAGGGAGAAGAAGGAGAAGGACCCAGGTGTCTAGGGGCGCGTGCACACAGGCCAGGTCAGTGGGTAAACCTGGTTTCAGGACCCGGATGAGGGAGTGGGTGGCTGCATTTAGTGTTTATAGCTCTTTCGGCTGGAGGACGTGGTGGAGACAAACTTGACACTGGAGCCATTGCCCCCGAGGACCCGGCTGCTACTGGCACTGAAGCCAGAACCTCCCAGCCCCGTGCCCAAGCTGTGTCCACCACTGGTGGTGAAGGAGTAGCCACTGCCCCCACTGAGACCCAGGCTTCCACCTCCAATGCTGCCGCCACCGCCGTAGCCACTGGAAACAGTGGAGGTGACCACAGCTGTGGGAAGAGAGGAGATGTGGTCAGATTCAAAGGCAGGAGAAAAGACATTGGGGGTGTCAGGGCCTGTGCCCTGAAGTTCCTGGGGAGGGAGGGCAGGGTGGTCCTTTCAGGCAGCTGTTAGCCACCTAATTTTCCTCCCGTGTAATGGGATCACTGTGTTATGCCTCAGCTGGGTCGTCTCTGTGCAGCAGGTTCGCATCCTCCCAGTCTGGAGTGGCTTTCTCCCTCCCCTCCACTACTCCGTGCCTCTCTCTTCTGTTTAGAACTTAATGGAGACTTCTCCCCTCTGGCATCTGTTCCAATCCAGCTGCCTTCCCCTTTGATCCCGCCCCTCTAACCCCACCTGCTGCCCCCAGGCCTGGCTGCTGTCCCATCTCCCTCTGCGGACCCAGATCTGGTGTCTCTGGAAGCTCATAGGAAGGCACACATATGCTTACCTTGGTGTCTCCCCCCCCCCCCCCGCAACCCCCAGCTCTGTGCTCAGAATCCTAGAGGGGGGCTGGAATATTCTTGATAGACCAACTGACAGATGACCCATTTGGCCAGCCAACTATTCTCCTCCCAGCCTGTTCTTTTCCTAACTTTTATAACCACCACCACCTTAAACATCTAGTCTCCTACTTTGGGTTCTTGAGAAGAAAAGTTGAAATAAAAAATAGATTCTGTTATGGGATGAATTGTGTCCTTCAAAAAATATGTTGAAGCCATCACCCCCAGTATCTGAGAATGAGACCTTATTTGGAATATTTGCTGATATAATCAAGTTAAAAGGAAAATCATTAGGGTGGGCTCTCATCCAGTATGGCCAGTGTCCTTGTAAGAAGAGGGAAGGTGTCCTAATGTGAAGACAGACACACAAGGACATGGCCATTTGACCACAAAGACGGAGATTGAAGTGGTGAGCCAAGGGTTGACAGCAACCACCAGAAGCTAGAAGAGGCAAGGGGTCATTCTCCCCTACAGGTTTCAGAGGGAGCACAGTCCACTGGCACCTTGGTTTGGAATTTCTAGCCTGAGACTGTGAGACAATAAGCTTCTATTGTTTGAAGCTGCCCAGTGTGTGTACTTCATTGTGGCAGCCCTCAGAAACCAACACAAACTTTCAGGTGCTTTCAAGGGAATGGAAACTAGAGGCTATGCCGTCCATTCCCCAAATTAGCTTTGAGGATCTCTGGAGACACTAGACAAAGACATCAAGGATGGACACCTGGGTGGTGCCTTCTAGAACCATTGGCTAATATGAGCAATGGCTTTTGTGAACCTCACATAGAGAAACAAAGCTCACTTGCAGAGTGTATGTTGTAGAAGTCATTACTGTTGGCCTCAAGGTGCCAGCACTGAGCTCTGAGTGACGCCTTCTGCTGGGCGTTTGGCCAGTTTGCTAAAGCTTCTCATTCCTCAGCCGCTGCATCTTCCTGCTATGAGTATGGTGCTCTCACTGCCCTGAAAACCCTTGGTTACTCTCTATGTTTATAATCTATAGAGTTAAGACAAGCAGTGGGGCTTCTTCCCAAATTGTTCCGGGAAGAGGCTGTCTAAATAACAATGCCTTTGCGTTCAGCATGAAGCTCCCTCCAAAGGCTGAGGGCAGACCAAGAGCTTTCATAAAGTCTGTCCACATCGAACACTCATCTCTGAGCAGTAGAAGCCCCAGGGAGAACAATGGGAAGTCCTGGGAGAGGGGAGGTGTGGCCTGTGGGTCTTCTATGCAGAAGGAGTTCAGCAAATCTCCCAGTGCCCCTTTGTGGCACTCACTCACTTACAAAGAGGTCAGTTTTGTGACATGGAAGACTCTCTCCTGAGATGGCTCTCTTTTTAACAAATTCAGAACGTCAAAGCTTCTCGAAATGAGCCCTTTTGATGGGATCCCCTCCAATGCTTCATGTGCACCCACCACCTCTCCATCCCCCAATCACACACACTCCAAATGACACAAAGGATGTCATACTCACAGATGTTAACCGGAGAAACACCCTCTCCACTCAGCCTGATTGGAAGAAGAGGGGAGAAAGAGGTTACTGTTGTGCCCAGAAGTTTGTGGGCATTTGAAACAATGACATTTTTGTAATTGTTTTAAATGCATTAAAACCCCTTTATTTTTATTGCAGAAATAGTGGAGGTTGCAATTATTTAAATACTAGTAATATTAAAACTAATAACTTAATGAATGAAATAATGTGGAGTCTGAGATTCATAGGAGTAAAACCTGTAATCCCAGGAATGCATTTTTGGTTTAGACAAGGTAGACACCTTATAAAAATTAAAGCCATCATACACTGGTGTCCATTGAAAAGGCAGGACTTGTCATAGAACAAGAAGAATTATCTCTGAACAATGGGCCATTGTTGTACACTGGGCAGTGCTGAGGTTATTATAGGTGTGGAGGCGTGTCTGAGTCATAAATATAACACTTGCAATAATCAGTCTATTATTGTGGTAGCAAATAGAGTAATTTTGTTTTAGCATCTTGAGGACAAAACTGGCATTCATTTATAAACACACACTTAGAATATTAAAAGAGCTAACCATTATTGGGTAACTGGTACCTACATTCTGCCACTTCATGCTCTCAACAACTCCATTAACTAGGTGTTATTATCTCAGTTTTACAGATGGAGAAATTCAAGCTCAGAGAGGTTAATTAATTTGTATAGCATCACAATTTGAAGCCAGATTCATTGGACACCCAAGCCCATATCTTTGGCCACTAAATTGAATGTTAACTATCATTAAAATGCACACTTTTTGTTTTACTCTGCATTATTTTAAGAGCGTCATGTATAGCCCCTATATCAACACTCTTAAAGACATATGAGCTAGAAACGATGGTTATCCCCATTTTGCAGGTGAAGACACAGGAATGGAGAAGTTAAGTAATTTGCTCCGGGTCACACAGCTGGTAATTGGCAGAGCACAAAGTTGCCACTGAGCCAGATCATGTGACCTGCTCTCTATTATATCTTTGAAGAAACTGAGGACCGGAGAGGGGAAAATGATTTTGCTAAGGTTGCATAGCCTGTTAGTGGCAGGCATGTAAGCCTAACTCCTAGGACAATTTATTATCAGTCCAGAGCCTTTCAAACCACACATCCAGCCCTACCACATAACCAGATTTCTCCTTTGATAGAATTTGATTACTTAGACCTGATCAAGCACTAGATTTCTATGGGGTGCTGTAAGTAGTTATATCTAAAACATGGCAATTTGATAATGATTCACTAACCTGAAGAAAATTGCACCTGTATTCTTTGTCATAATTCAATTCTACCTACATTTGCTCTCCTTTCCAGGTGAGGAGAGGGCTGCAGCAACCTGAGCCCTTAGGAATAGCCAGGTAGCTGGGTTACTGCTCTGCCCTCACCTGCACTCCTCGCCCTCCAGCAGCTTGCGGTAGGTGGCGATCTCCACGTCCAGGGCCAGCTTGACATTCATGAGCTCCTGGTACTCGCGCAGCAGCCGGGCCATGTCCTGCTTGGCCTTTTGCAGGGCCTCCTCCAGGTCCACCAGCTTGGCTCGTGCATCCTTGAGGGCCAGTTCTCCGCGCTGTTCTGCGTCAGCGATGGCTGTCTGCAGGCTGGCGCACTGTGAGGAAAGGAAGAAGCTGAGAGCCTTCCTGGTAGCCCCTGGACACGTGGTGCTTCTTGGTTGGATTTCTGTGCACGTGGCAGAATGACCCGGGAGGAATGAGTGTGCAGGGAATTCTTGGCCCTGCCTAAACTTTACCTGCTTCTTCACATTGTCAATCTCGGTTCTCAGCCTCTGGATCATCCGGTTCATCTCAGAGATCTCTTGTTTGGTGTTTCGAAGATCGTCACCGTGTCTGCCTGCTGTGATCTGCAGCTCCTCATACTGAAGGAACCAGAGCAGAGTCAGTCATCTGGTCAAACGCCAGGGTTGGGACTCCCTGTGTGCACAGCCTGGCCACCAGTGCCACAGCAGGCCCATCTATTTGCTGATAATTCACACATTCCCTCATTTATTTATTCAGGTGGTATTTCTTGATGGGCATGTACTAGGCTATCGTAAAGAACATAGACCCCTGCTTACAGCTTATTGAGGGAGATAGACATTAGCCAAAGCAGCATATTATTGAATATATAGTTTCAAACTGAGAAAAATGCCCCTTAGGAACTTAACAAAGTCCTACCAGACTGTAATAAAGAAATCTGACCCAGATATGGAAGTGGGGGAAGCGATCAGGGCAGTCTTTCCAAGGATGGAGATGCTTGAGCAGTGCTCAGAAGGATGGGAGGGAGGGAGCTAATCGACTGGTTGGAGAGAGACCACTCCAGATGGGAAACAGCCTATGTGAGGACCCTGGGGCCCGAAGAAGTGTGGTGAGCTCTGGGAGTGAGAGGGACTTGGTCACTGTCCTTGAGAAGCTCCTGGTCACAGAACATACATCCAGACTGATCGTGATCATTTTGGTAGCCCTCCAGACACCACTGCTGGGGAAATGGGATGGCATGCAAGGAAATTGTGCTGGGTGGAGCCGAGACTATAGAGGGTCCAGTTTTGAAGACTTTGTAACAGAATCTCCATCTCGGGTAGCTCCTCATCTCATCTGGGTGCCCATCCAGGACATACTCATTTAGGAGAAATAAATGCACCTGTGTTGAGTAGACTGGAGTGAAACCCACACCTTTTCCAACAAAAGAAGAGTCCTTGCTGGAGCAATTATCTGTTGGATTTTGAAAATGCTGGATAGCTAAGCTACTGTTTCTGGATACACACAGTTAAAGGGAACAACAGCATTGACAACAAAAGAAATAATTTGCTGTAAATTTCAACCACTCCACTTACGGGTTAAGTGTATTTCACCTCCACTCACCATCATAGGGCTGCCTTTGCACTGTGCACCCCCGTCAGCTGACTTCCTCTTCCTTCCTACCACCTTGCAGGGGTAGGGTCTAAGGCATGAGTGTATAGAGCAGGGCAAGGGACAGGAGGCAGCCTGTAGGTGAGCAGCTGCCCCCTAAAAGCCTCTGAATTTGTGAGGGAGCTCATCTCAGCCACTGGACTATCCTGCTGACTATAACCTCCAAAGCCAGGCCTTCTTGCCATCTGTGCTTCTGGACAGTAGCTCTCTCTGGTTGTCCCAACATCTCTTTTCCTGATACAAATTCTCTTACTTAGCAAAGTGCTAATTTCTGCCTTCCAGCCCCACAGAACTGCTTGCTCAGGCCTGAACACCTTGCTCAGCACTCTTTTGTACCTTGCTGCTTTCAAAGTGGATTGAAAATGCACCTCTTCTTGGAAGCTTTTTGTTGATGTCTTTTACCTCCCAAGATTTTTCTATTCACTTCATGGTCTCCCAGACCTTGGGTTCTGTTTGCAGTTTATCCATTTACAACTTTGTAATCTGCTTGGCATATTATAGGAGCTTTATTAACATGTACTGAATAAATAAGCCATTTAGAAACAGCTTTATGACTGTTTCTTGGATGTTTTGTTAGCCCAGGGAACTCAAACCTCTAGTTCTTCCCCTACCTCCACTCCCTCAACTGAGCCCCCAACCAGATCCTAAGTCTCACTCAGCCCCCAACCAGATCCTAAGTCTCACTCAGCCCCCAACCAGATCCTAAGTGATGTGGGGCTGGTGGCTGTCCTGAGTGCCTAGCATCGCCTGACCACACAATAGTGTGCATGGGTGGATTTCCATACACATTTCAAGCCAAGTTTTCATAGGATCAGCAATGCTTCTGCCAAGTTGAAAGAGATGGAAATGCTCACATGTTTCTGGAAGCTTGTGTCTAATAGTTAAATGATGATTTGGGGCTTCAGAAAACACTAGCCCTGGACCCTATCACAGAGGTATCCACACTCACCTTGGTCTGGTACCAAGACTCAGCCTCGGCCCGGCTGCGGTTGGCGATGTCCTCATACTGGGCCTTGACCTCAGCGATGATGCTGTCCAGGTCCAGGCTGCGGTTGTTGTCCATGGACAGCACCACGGAGGTGTCGCTGACCTGGGTCTGCATCTGGGACAGCTCCTGCATGGTCAGTAAACTCAGTGTCATCAAAGAGAAGATGGGATCTTGGAATCATACAGTTGACCACCCATCAAGGTCAGGAAGCCCTCCTTTGGTATTCCTGACAGGGCGTCTTCTGCTCTTCCCTGAGCACTCCCAGCATTTACGGGGTTCCTTGACAATGGAAAGTTTCTTTAGGATCAAATGATTTTTAGGGCCCTCTGTCCTCTGCACAGTATGATTTTATCCCTCCCTGCTTCTTTCTCCTCCCACAGGCCCAGATCTTTGGTTTCCAAGTACAGTGCCCAGAATGAAGCATCCTCAGAGGTTAAGAAGTTGACCAGTAAGCTGAGGCACAGCTTGTCTTTCTGAACTTTTCTGAGAGGGGGAATGGAAATGTGAGTCTTGATCCCTTGGGAATGCTACCCAATAACCTGGGATTCAAGAATCAGCACTTTTTCTTCAATATGCTATGAGGTGGGGGGCAAAAGCCTCATAGCTGGAGTAGGCGTTAGTGTGGCAAGATTTTAAGCAATTCTCCTGGGTCCCCCAACCTTCCAAACCCTAGTTTAGAGCACCTGGGGCACAGTAGCGGGTGGAGCCATTATGGGTATGATGCTCTCTGAAGCACCCCTTTCTTTTCCGGGGCCAGACCTAGGGGGGATAAACACATTTGCAGGCTCTTACTTCCTCATAGAGCATCCGTAAGAAGTTGATCTCGTCAGTCAGACAGCTGACCTTGGCCTCCAACTCCACCTTGTTCATGTAGGCAGCATCCACATCCTGGAACAACAGCACAGGGAGCTCCTCTGAGACTTCAGCCACAGCAGCAAGTCCAAGAGAAGCAGAGCAGACTCCTCTCTGGATCTTCTAGTTTGGATTTTAGCAAACTCTACATCTGGGGTTGAGGGAGTGGAGGTAGGGGAAGAACTAGAGGTTTGAGTTCCCTGGGCTAACAAAACTCTAAGCAGGGGTGGTGGGCCATAAATACAGAGGAACATTTTGGCAGGTTTGAGCTCTCCAAATATTCTCCAGGTCATATGACATTTCTTGAGTGACCCAAGGGTTGGATCTCCCCACACTCCCAGATTCAGTTTGAATCTTCTCCTTTGAGAGACATTTCCACCCACCTTCTTCAGGGCCACAAACTCATTCTCAGCAGCAGTGCGCTTGTTAATTTCGTCCTCATACCTGTGAGCAGAGGAGAAGGGGGTGTGTGTTTTTGAGCAATGTTTTGATGGAGTTCTTCCCAGGCTGAGGAGGAGGATGCTGGTGCAATAAGAGCTAAGAGACCTCAAATCCCCTCCAGCTCTTCTGCTCGCCTGTGTGTGACTTTGGGTGATTCACTTAACCTCTACTTCTCCCTCTATAAAAGGAGAATAATTTCTTCTGCTAGATGGTTACCCTCCCCCCTTCTTTCTTCTGTAAGACTAGAAGGTGAGCATGGAATTTATGGAAATAGAAATATGTATTTATGTAACTCTATCTTCTTAGAGATGTACAATTTGAATTTAAAAAATATTTTGTTGTCTCTGCTGGGCTGGCGTGCTCAGTGGTTGAGCATCGGCCTATGAACCAAGAGGTCATAGTTCATTCCCAGTCAGGGCATATGCCTGGGTTGTGGGCTTGATCCTCAGTGTAGGGCATGCAAGAGGCAGCTGATCAGTGATTCTCTCTCATCATTGATGTTTCTAGCTCTCTCTCCCTCTTCTGTCCTCTTTGAAATTAATAAAAATAAAAATAAAAACTTTCTTTGCTGCCCCAAGTGCCTGCTGTAAACTTTGTTCAGGACAGTGTTCTTGGCAGATTTTGGTACCGTATATTTTCACTGAGCCTCGGGGAAGCTTTTTGAGCAGTGTGCTTTTAGCAAGTAAGTGTAGCTCTAACTCAGAAACCAGGGCTAAGGCAGCTAAGGGATCAGTGGAGGACCACCCTTTTCCCCTGGATACATCACTGACTGTGGCCTGAGTGATCACCAGTCAAATTTAGCCTCCCAAGGAGGACCAGATTGCCTCATTTTACTCTAGTGTGCATCCTGGGAAGCGAAACCCATCTCAATAGAGTCTGTGCCCAGTGGAGTTAAATAACATGTTCACCTTAAAATAATATTATGCTTTCCAGAGTAACAATATTTTGTTAGGTGATATAGATATCCCTTTTTGGTTGTGTAAACAGTGAAGAATAGGCTTCTTATTAATAGTGATGCAGGGGATGGGGGTACCTCTGCCACCTCCCACTATGCTGTCTTCATCTTACGGGGTAATGACTGCAAGTTCCAAACCTCCCAGCTGATACTAGCATTTGCTCATTTGCACCCAGAGATGGCTGCGTGTGACAGGAAGCCCATCTCCCACCTACCTGACTTTGAAATCTTCTACGACGTCTTGCATGTTCCTCAGCTCAGCATCCAGCCTGCCCCTCTCACTGGTGACGCTGTCCAGCTGCCGGCGGAGGTCATTGAGGTAGGCATCAAAGAAGGGCTCCAGGTTCTGCCTCACCGTCTTGGTGCCCTGCTCTTGCAGGAGGGCCCACTTGGTCTCCAGGACCTTGTTCTGCTGCTCCAGGAAGCGCACCTGGAGTGGGAAAGAAGAGAATGGAATCCTGAGACACAGGAGAGAGTTGAGAAATTAGTTGGAGCCAGGTACTCCAATTAATGAGGGAAAGAGGAAAAGTATACTTCTCACATGACACCCATGTGTCAACTATTTAATTGACAACTCCAAGTCAAGATGAGAAAGCCCTTGAAATTACCCCACAGTTCTCAGAGGCTTCCATAGAACTACGATAGTATAGTGGGGGTTGGAGGCCTCTATGGGGAGCCTCTATTCTTGGGTTGACAGTCTCAACAAAGCCTGCTCTGGGTTAGGTTAGTTGGCTTAGTGGGAACTCCTCCTGCAAAGAACAAGTTATCTTTCCTGGTGCTGACTGAACTAGCCTACATGGCTCCCAAACAAGATACAGAGAAATTTCCACAAGGTCCCTTGGAGCAAGCTGGTCCCACTTTCAAACACCTCACCCCACTGGGAGGCACCTGCTAATCAGACGTGCTTAGCAGGGAGTTGTTGTGTTGCTGCTTCCCCTCTCAGCCGAGGGCTGCTCCCAGTGGTCCTGTCAGCCCAACCCAAGGGAGCGGAAGCAGCTCCTGGCTCACCTTGTCGATGAAGGAAGCGAACTTGTTGTTGAGGGTCTTGATCTGCTCTCGCTCCTCTTTCCGCACTCGCTGGATGGTGGGGTCGATGTGCAGGTTGAGGGGAGTCAGGAGACTGTGGTTGACGGTGACTTCTTGGATGCCTCCAGGGGGGCAGACAGGGAAGCCAGAACTCCCATAACCTCCGCCCACCCCACCCCCATAGCCAAAGCCACTGCTGACCCCAAACCCACTGCTTGCCCTACCACCAAAGCCACTTCTGAAGTTGTTGCCACTCCCACTGATGGAGACCCGCTTGGTCCCCCCTAGGTTGTAGAGGCTGCGGCTTCCAAAGCTGGTCCCCGGACCGCTGATTCTTCCCAGCCCTCCACTGCCCGCTGTGGTGCGGGCCAGAGAGACTGAGCTGAAGCGAGGGCGCCCAGAAGCTGAGGTGGTGCTGAAGCCCCTGCGGCTGCCGGTCTGAAAAGTGATGGTGGACTGCCTGGACATGGCTGCTGCTCAGAAAGAAGAGCTCCTGGCGCAGGAGTGTATGAAGGGGGATAGAGAAGACAGGGTATCTGGGGAGCCCCGGGCCCCATGGCTTTTATGGGTCTCTGGGAGGGGCGGGGCAGTGCCAATCAAGGCCTCTGATGGCATCTTCTAGGCATTTGCCAGCCCTGAGCTCACTCTCAGCTCCCCTCTGGAAATGGTGTAGGAGCCACTGGTTGGCTCCCTGGCACGCCTCCCCCACGTGCAAAGTCCTTTCCAGTCGCAACTTGATCAGCAAGTGAATGAGAAGCACATTAATTGCTTTCAGTCATGTCCTAATCATGCATCTGATAATGGACTCAAAAAACACTGCCTCATTTCTAAACCGTTTTCTTAGGCCTGGGACCGACTCCCTCCTGTCCAAACACCTTGTGTCATTTCAAGTGACGGCGATTTACTGTTTCCTGTTCCTTCGTATCCCTTAGTTATGTTTCCCACCCCTGAGCATTTTCTCAGCTATTGTTGCCCAGTCTCCCGCCTCCCACCAAGCTGTCTCTCCAGATCTTGAAAATCCTGCTTTAACCTCATCTTTCTCAGGAATTCACTGAGTTTTGATTGCCCCTTTATTTTATTCTTAAGCTTCCATTTCTATTGTTCAGGTCACAGGATATTCTGGAGCAGCTGGAGTGGGAAAGAAGAATGTGCATGTGCATGTATGTCTTGTCTATTCCAATGCAACATGACTGAAGACCAGGCCCAATGTGCCATGGAGAGAAGCCATGAGAGTAGACAGACAGGGTTGAATCCCAGGACTGCCTTGTACTCATTGTGAGACCTTTGGCCAATCACAAATGTCTGTGAGTCTCAGTCTGGATGTCTATAAAGACAGTTTTCTGATGAGTATTCATGTGTGAAAACAACTTTTGCAATGACTTGACCATGTGAGTAAATGTTCAGTCTTTTCTCCTTCTGACACTATCAAGGCAGTATAAATGAAATGCCAGTCCATTCTGTGGCGAGTTTAAAAGAAACACAATACATATTCTTTTTCTTTTATAGGAAACTCGTGGCCCCCACTGGATAATTTATGAAAAGGTGGTAGACAGCAAAACACTCCATCGCTGCTGTTTGAGGCTGCTTAATTCCAGAAGTCTCCCAGACTGGCCACTCCTCCCACTGAATGCCAGGGTCCCTACCCTTCAATCCTTCATTAAAGAGCTCCAGTGGTTGCATCAAGTAGAGGATTTTTTTCTTTTCCCCAGGTAGTCTTATTGACTGTGCCTGCTTTCCTCTATCAGGCTAAAACTGAAGAGTCTACAAGGCTCCTTGTTCCCCTTTTATCTGCCTCTCATTTCACATCCTCCCCCCTCCCCCCGTCTCTACCCTGGGGGAGTAAGACAGAAACATTGTTAGATCCCTTTCATCTTGCTGACTTCTTTCTCCTTGAGGTGGTTTTGGAGAGTGGCAGAGTGAGAGAGGACCTGAAATGCATTTAGTCTCCTTTTGGTGGATGAGGAAGGTGCATTCCTGAATGGAAAATTAAACAAATGGACATTGCCTAACTAGAAGTAGAGCAAGATCCATGGTCTTGTCACACAGGTGCCCTTCCAGAAGCACACCATAACTGATGGGCTGGCAGACGCTTGGCACCTGAAATGGCAGCTTGGCACCTAGAGGTGTGGATCTCTGTTGTCTGAGCTATTTCCTCCTTGGAGCCAAGGCCAGGGAGTGGGCCTTTGCTCCATCAAGAGATTGTTTGAGAGTCTCAGTTTCCACAGGGAACCTATGAATCATAGCTTTTGTTGATACAGGCCAAGAGGAGCACAGGAGTTCTCACCTGGTGGCCAGTGCTTCCAGGTCCTAGCTGGGGTGGTGCATGCGTCTGGGGTGGAAAGAATAATTGCCTTTGTTTTCTGTACTCCTTGCATGATAATCTTTCTCCCAGAAGAAGGATGCTTGTTTTCTGAGCTGTGCTGACTAAACCCTTCAGAGCTTCCTGGGAAACAAAGGGTCAAGGCCTGGGGAGTGCCTTAGCTCACATGCCTATGGGAGTGATGGGAGTGATGGGAGTGGGAACTGCCACAACTTTCTCTCATCAAGCCTCCCAGCAGAAGCTAGCTTCCTCTTCCTTTCCTCCTGGGTCATTCATTTATTTCCCGAATCCCTCCTCTCCCTGCGCCCCCAGGTGCATCCAGCCTGCCCCTTATCCCTTTCCATTCTTGTTTCTCTCAGCCATCACTTTTTGTCTGGAGTGGCCCATTTCCTTCCTTCTTTGCCTCCTCTCTCTAAAATTTTTCACCTGGATTGGTGTTTCCAAAGCTGGATTGTCTTGCTCACTGACTTCTGTAAGATAGATAGAAATAGATACATCTTTTACTTCCCTTTCTTCCTCACTCCCTCTTCTGTGACCTTTGACCTTCATTGTCATCTTTACCCTGGTGGACAATGTCTACCTAAACACCTAGACCTTACAGCCAGGGTCGCTGCCCCCTTTAAAACCTTGAAACTTAGAGACTAGGAACACTTTCCTTCCTTGTGCCAAGGAAGGTTTCTTTGTTTTTATTTTAACCTCCAGTTTTATTCTACTTAGAACTCACCCCAGAAGCCTTCTCAGATAAACTGTGCACAGGCGCTACCCTCTTTACATTGCTCCCTGAGAACACCCGCGTGTGGCTTTCACATTAGTGTATTTTTCCACCTGCACTCGTTTTCTGGTGGTCTGGATGTGAGTTTACCTCTGAGGTTTAGGGTGTTTCACAAATAGAATTGTGGCAGAGGTTGACAGAGGTTGTCTAATTAAAGAACAGCTATGCATTCCTGTCTGTTCTCCAGGTCTCCTGAGTCTCCAATTTTGTATTATTGGGTCTTTCTTGGAAGAGTTTCCTTGAAGTTTTGGAGAGTGGTAGATTCAAGAGTGATGGTATTGGCTCTGATGCCCAAGCCTGGGAGTGCCAAACTCTTTGATGTCCTTGCTCCCTGCCTGTTCTTCTCAGGGTGGTCTCTCCCATCCTCAGAGGGACCCTGAGGCCATTGATAGTGGTGGATTTCAAGGAGACTGGACCACTAGGACTGTGGAGGTGGGTGGAAGTATGCCTGTCCAGGTGATGGAGTGGAGAGTGCACCAAGGAACTTTGGCTTCCAACCAGGTCAGGGGCAGAGGAGGGCAGTCTGGGGACAGCAGGAATTAAATTCCGAGAGCAGGCTGACCTGCTGCACAGAGCCAAGGTCTCTAGACACAATCTTTAAGGACTCAGGCCCCTGTCACCCAATCTCTCAAAAGCTATATCCCTCCCAGACGGCTCTCTCCTACTATCTTGGAGAGTCTTGCCTGCAGTTAATAAATGTTTATTAGCAACTACTTAGTGCCAGGTGTTCAATGTCCTAAGCACAGGCAACAGAGCCGTGAAAAGATAGACAAAACCCTCCCTCCTGGAGTTCACAGTGAAAGGGAAAGGGCAGCGGAGGTCATTTGGAGGTGCAGTCATAACATGGGTCTCCCATTTTACAGTTCCTAGAGTGTGGAGAAGATAGTGGTGACACCTGAGTCTCCCAATCAGAAACACTTTTCACCTTAACTATTCATGTCAGGGCAGCAGACTTCCTCAATATTTGTGTCTCTAAGGTGCACCCAGCCTCTTTATGGGGGTCAGACCCTCCACCTCATGGACCTCTTTGTTCCCGCATTCAGTGGCAATATTGTTCCCCAAAGGAACTAAATGTGCCAATTGACCTCAAGAAACCACCAAGATTCAGGACTTGGGACATGTACTTGCACATAGCCAGACCTCACCTGGTCTGCTCCCTTTTCCACCCACATAACCAGGCATTTCACTTGGGCCCACATTTGATGGGCAAGTGGATGCAGAGCTTTGTGCAGGTGAGCAGGCAACCATCAAGTTTCCTTCAGTCAATTTTAACAGCAAAATTGGGTGCTTTTTTCCCCATTCAAACATGTGTTTAGGAGTAACAAGATGGAGTAGCCACTTCCCTCCAGGGTAAAATCCTCAGACACATCCAACAAGTATGCACATGCAAAGCATGGACAGACATGTCTTAGGAACATCCACAAAACAATAATCCACACACGAACATGCTGCCAACTGGATGCATAGGACAAAGAAGTAAAGGAAAGGTACAAAGTCAGTCTTTTAAAATCTGAAGGAGACCTTAGAGATGAGGACACCACAGACAAGAACATACAGCCATTTGGTGGCTGAGGCAGAGCTCCTGATTCCTCTTGATGCCTACATTCACCCCACGCTTCCCTCACATCATAGAGCCCAGGGAGAAAAGCTCCCCATTGCCTGGGAATCACAGTTGGAATCCTTCCTATAGTGAGAAGGTCAGTGCAATGCTAGCATCTTCAGGGTCTCACACTATAGTGACTATACCCCCAGAGAAAGCACCTGAAGGGATTTAGACAAGATTATTCCAGGTACATCTTGGCCATTCCCTTCTGACCACTCTAATGGCCTCATTTGTTCCCAAGACAGGAGCATTTCACCAAGTCTCTCTGGTTGGTGCTCAGGGGCTGCCATAGAGGGACATTGCTGGAGATGAAAGTGGGGGTGAAATGGGGTGCCCCTGTAGCTCCTTCTGCAAGGGGGTGGCATGACCAATCATAGGATGGAAGTTGAAGGTTTCAGATGAGCCTTGCTCTTCCTGTTGGCTCTGAGGGTCACATTTCGGACACACAAAAGAGGATGTAGCCTCCTGAGCATGGGAGGAGAGGCTGGGGAGCTGGCTTGGTCTAACATTTCTCATGGATAAATCACAGAGTGAAGCCATCCAAGAATACTTAAGATGGGATTGTTTATCTGCTGAATGTACACCTACCTTGTCTGTAAAGCTGTGCTTCTGTCTGAGGCATCTTGGTGATACATCATTTACCTAGGTGTTTCCATAGGCGAAAGGGTGTGGGGTCCTGTTTTCCACCATCTCCCAGAGGGTTGGGCCCACAGGACAACCAGCCTTGGCCTAGGAACCCTTGCTCATTCTGGGCAGTCTGGTGCCCAGCTGAC